GTGCTGGGGGATTGAACCGCGGTCCCTGATGCTTTGCCAAGCTAGTTCCAAGTAGGTGCTTTAGACCACTGAGCCATCTCTCCAGCCCCGCACCTACAATATTTAAATGGCAATGGAATACCCATCTCTGACAAAACTAAACCAAAAAAGGGGATACAAATGAAGAACCATTTTGTATCTGTATATACAAAATAGTTAGGACAGATATACAGATACTTTCTCTTAACTCAATGAGAAGAAAGATTTGTACTACTAGTGCCTGGACAGGATATCAAGTCCGCATCTTATACTGTGAATAACCACTACGAAGACAACAATATGCAATGTATTAATTATTGAAACTGTTCTATTAATCAGGTTTGAAACTGTCTCATTGCTATTTCTCAATAAAATTAATAAAAATAAGTCAAAGGAAGGAGAATGTAGAATTGTATCTACAACAGCTAAATAATACTTACTTTTGAAGAGACCTAGTAATAGGAATCATACTTTCCTTCAGTTGAGATTTAGAGAAATCATCTTCTGGAACCTATTATTAAAAACATCAAAAAGTAAAAATATAATAAAATATCTGACAATTATAAAGTGCTATTTAAAATGTGACTAAGAACACTAAAATGTTTTCTGCACCTCTAAAGAATTATTTCTAGCAAGTTTTTTTTTTGCTTTGAAATTTAGAAACAAATTTTATTTAAGATCTGAAATACAATTCCTAAAATATCATTTATGCCAGAAAACTGTGTCTATACAATAATGCATTGCCTCTATCATGTTAGAACATACATTAGACTCAAATACAAAAACCAACAAACAAATCACCATCCTTCAACAATTTGAGTAAAACCATGAAGCAAACCATCATCTTTCAATAATATGAACCACAGTATGCCTAAGGAGGTTTGCAGAGGATGGGCTGCTTTACTTCATTCAAGCACCATTAAAAAAAAGAAGAAGACAAAAAGAAGAGAGCAAAAATGTATGGGTTTTCAGGTATATATATTAAGTTGAACCTTTGGCACTAGGAATCAGGGAGTTTTGTCACCTAGCATTGAACCCTTATTAGAAAATTGTGTAGTGTCAAAGGGATAGAACTACCAGCATTTAAGCAATGTTTTCAACTAGGCAATAAAATGGTCTACTGAATGCTTTTTCCTTGTCTAATTACTGCATACACATGTAGCAACTTTGAAATGAGGAGTTTATACTCCTCATTTATACTCCTTTTATTTTCCGTTTAAAATAGAACAAAAACAAACTGAAACATAAACCCTGTTATACGTTGACAATTTTAAAGAACATTAACTACACAAGTAAAAGACCAAGAACAGAAAATGTTTATAGACACCAGACATCAGTGGTGAGAGGTCAGCAGACCCTCACAGGGCTTTGTGATGGTAGCAGCAGAAGCCACTTTGTAATCACTGGCAGTAAACAGTGACACAAAATTCTTTGCCAGATACTTCAGAAAATCATGCAAATAGCCTAACAATAGTGCAAAGCTCTTCTCATCAAGGGGCTGTATAGGCCAACATCACTCCTATTCTCACAAATAATCTCAATAGGTGTGGTGCTCCATAAACCTGGGACATTGGCGCATCAGGATGAGCCAAGAGGATTTCAGCATAAAGGCACCTCTCAAATTTGTAGAGCAGCTGAGTGCCCAACATCACATTGAAATACTCTTTTATTCCTGCCACAACTTCATTAATTGCATATTCCGTATTATCAACATTTCCCTGTGATTTCTTACAATTAGCATACACTTCCAGAATGGCACCTACATTTTTCTTAGCAGGAAGTTGAAAAAGCTGCTTCTGCCTGCTCATTAAGGCTCAGTCCTTCATAAGCCATGGTTTTAATTCTTCAGGAATCTTCACTTTAACTTTCATCCTATTCTTAAATGTTTCCTCACTTTTCAATAGTGGGTCCTCCTGGGCCCATTTCTTCCAAAGGGCCTGAGGTGCTTCACTGGTACTGCCATCTCCATTCCCAGGAGCCTTCTGCTGCTCCTTTCTTGTCTTTCTTGCAGAATCTGAGGGAAAGTTCTCCATGGACCAACCACCCCATCTTCCTGGAAGAGCTGGCTCAAGATTCTTTGGCTGAAGACCAACTACCTTCTTTCCTGAGGCCCCTCTCAACTTACTTCTCTGAATATTGCTTCTCAATGGCTTTTTGAAGTTGTCTTCTACAGAGTGCCATCCACAAGTTTGAGAACCCTGATTTCTGGAACTCATTCAACTCTGTTTTTACATCAACCAACAACCTTCCTTCTTTCCTTTCCAAGAACTACAGCAATTTCCCAAGTGGAATCTTATAGGTCTTTGGGGTGGTCTGGAAGGATGAAGTAGGAGACAACACCCAAGAATCTGTAATCAAGGACGGTTCTGCAATCAGGATCAGATTTCCTGATCCTTACTGTATGCCAAACTTAGTTTTTCTGACGGTGACCTGAAACGAGAATCCAGCTCTCTCCAGCAGGACGTGTATGCACTGCTGTCCCTCCAACCACCATAATCTCTAGCAACAGTTTTCAAAAGAGCATTAACTATTTTATCTCATTTAGTCTAAAAATATTACGAAAAACAAAAATACTACAAGTATCACTTAGTTTCACCTTTGAATTGCCCTAAAATATGGTTCTAGGGCCCGGGGAGATAGTTCAGTAGAATAAGCGCTTGCCTGGCAAGCACAGGGTCCTGAGTTCAATCCCCGGTGCTGCAAAAAAATTAAAAAATAAAATATGCTTCTAAACATATGTCCATTAAAATTCAAATCTTGGCTTGAAATAGTTTTATTGAAAAGACTAGGTCTAAGTGATATTTAAAAGAAGGATGAATTACACTCTGTATGTTAATGCTATGATTATTAGAATGTCTGGAGAAAAACGTTTAAATATAATTCAAATGAAGTGGATGATAGTTCTTAAGAACTGATCCACTCCAAAGACCTAAATATTAAAAGTATTAACTATTAATGCTTAATATTACAACAGAGACACAATCTACTAGAAGAGAAAGGATGTAGAAACCTTGAAGACATAGATATAGGCAGAGAGCTCATAAACAAAAACCAAACTACAAAAGAAATACTTCGAGGAACCAACAACTGGGATTTCATCTTACTAAAAAGTTTTCGCACATCAACAAAAATCACCAGCAAAGTAAAAATGCAACCCACAGAGTGGGAAAAAAAAATTAGCAAACTGTCCCGCAGACAAAGGACTTGCATTTAAAACACATAAAGATTTTAAAAGGGCTGGCCTGATGGCTCAGCAGACTAAAGTGCCTGCTCAGGCAGAATGCAGCAGCTGATCCCACTGGTCCAGCCTCCAGGGCACAATGACACAGTGACTGAGACTGGGCGTGCTGGCACGTGCCTGTAATCCCAGCACTTGGGAGGCTGAAAACAGGAGAATCACTACGAGTCTGATTGAGCTACATAGTGAGACCCTGTAGACCCTGTCCTAAATACATGAAAAAAAGAATTAAAAAAAAAAAAATCAGGGCCCCAAAATTCAAAGACTCAATCCAACAATGGGCATTTGAGACAGATACACATTTCTCTGTGTATGAAAATACACAAATGGCAAATACATGAAAAAATATTCAACAACACTGCTCCAAGAAATGCAAATTAAAACAATAATGAAGTTCCATCTCACACCAGAAACAATGGCTATCATCATAAAATCAACCAATAACAAATGCTGGAGAGGCTGTGGGGATAAAGGAACCCTGCTCTACTGTTGGTGGGAGTATAGACTGATGTAAACAATGAGGAAATCAGTGTGGCGATTCCTCAAAAAACTTGGATTAGAGCTCCCATTTGACTCTATCCCATTCCTGGATATTTCTCCAGAAGTCCTAAAAGCATCATATCACAACAATATGGGCCGGGGAGATGGCTCAGTGGAATAAGCGCTTCCCTGGCAAGTGCAAGGACCTGAGTTCAATCCCCGGTTCCGCAAAAAAAAAAAAAAAAAAAAAAACACACAATATATATGCGCTCATGTTTATAGCAGCACAACTGTTACAGCTAAAATCTTAGAAACAACCTAAATACCCATCAACACAAGAATGGATAAAAAAGATGTGGTATTCTTCTACAATGGAGTATTACTCAACTATAAAGCAAGAGAAACTCAAGGCCTTCATAGGTAAATGGATGCAACTAGAGACCATGCTCATAAGCATGCTTAAACACTGTATTGTATCCCTAGCACAAGAAACTAAAAGGGTAAATAAAATTAGAAAGGTACAACAAATATAAAAGGGAAGGAAACTGCTCAAAAGGAAAGAACTGGGGTGGGAGAAAGGAGAAAATAAAGAAAGAAGGGAAAAACAGACAGACAGGCTAGGTAAGATAATGATATTACTAATTTCTATTGGATTATTGAAAGCAGTGCTTAATTTTTTTATCAATTGTACATGCTTATTGCTGGTAATTTGAACAACTACTTTGAAGATAACAATATACAATATAATAACCATTGTTAATTTCCTGTCATCTTGTTTAGAAATTCTGTATTTTTTTAATGTTTATGGTTTATTCTTAAAAATAAAAAGAACTGACCCACGCATTTGTAATGAAGACTGAATTTTATAAAGCCCTGAGTGACAGTAACAGAAGACTGACAATAAAAAGAGCTACAATTTAACCGAACATTTATCAGGTGTCAAGTACTATACTAACTAGACTGTTTCAAAGTACTGTATGTTCTCAACAACCTCCTTTCACAGAAAAGGAAACTGCAAAGAAGTATAAGCCAGCCACAGAAAGGCAAATACTACACGATTTAATTCACATGTGAAATCTCAAAAAAGAATACCATATAGGCAGAGAGTATAAAATGATAGCTACCAGTGTTGAAGTGGTGGAAGATATGAAGATACTGACCAAAAAACAAATTTCAATTGGGTGGCATTAGCTCAAGAAAGCTACTATGCAACATGGTGACTATAGTTAGTAACAATGCATTATCTACTTGAAATTAAGTGTTCTCATCCCAAAAAAAAATATGAGACAATACACATCAACCACCCAATTTATCCATTCCATACTATATATATTTCAAAACACATTATGCACCAAAAAATAAAAATTTTTGAGATTAAAAAATTAAAGAAAATAAACTAAAGAACATAAGTATTTATTTGCACAAATATTCCACTTGCTAATAGGGGGCAGAATTAGAATTTAGACTTGAAAAAAGCTTCGTTTTTAAACACTATACTTTTAAATTCATTTCCACAGAAAAGCAGAACAAAGCAGAAACAGGTTCAAATTTCCAAGAAATACACAAGTTTATTTATTTTTTTATTTTTTTGACGGAACCAGGGATTGAACTCAGGCCATTGTGCTTGCCAGGGAAGCACTTATTCCACTGAGCCATCACCCCGGCCCAAAATACACAAGTTTAAAAAGAAAACATATCATAACTGCATTCAAGAGTCAATAAATACATGGAAACACAAAAGTAAACATCGGCTGACAGCAGACAAATAAGTCTAATATTGGAAAGGTTTTTTAGGGTTTCTCAAATATAAATACTCTATGGACCACACAGATTAATTTCGTAGGACTTAACAAAACATTTTTTACAACTCATACTACCGATGTAACATCATCATGTCTAAACAAGGGGTGGAACTGAAATCATCAAAATACGTTCAGAGGTTAAAAAAAAACTCAGGTTAAAATTAAACTAACAGTATGAATAAATCACTTTCTAAAATAAGAACAGTATAGTACTACAACTACAGCATTTGCTCTGTGACATGTTGGCATGTGTCTAGCAAGATAACTAGAAGCTGATCTGAAAAAGATGTAGGAAGAAATCTTTATACAAATTCATAGCTTTCAATTCATAAGCCATGTTTGTGCTTACTTGCTTAATCTCTTCTTTTGGTTCTATAGTTCGGTTCTGATTAAAACTTTCTTGCACAGCTTGCAGGTTAAATAACATTTGTTTTAAGGCTTCAACTGGACCATGATGTTTCCCTCCTGAAAGGGTAGAACTCTAAAGTCAAAACAAACGAGCATGAGTTTAACCATTCAAATTTGAAAAAAGGAATTCTATTTTGTACTATTTTCCCCTAATATAAATTAATGCAAAAATCCAAACAATGGAGCTCGGATATAGCTCAGAGGCACAGTGGCTACATGGCAAATGCAAGGTTCTGAGTTTGAGTCCAGTGCCAATTAACAGTTGTGCATCTGTGTTAATTATCTAATGATAATCAATACACTATGGTTATCTAAGATATTATAGGAGGCTGGGGAGCACAGTATGTATTATTTTTGCAACTACAGAGTTACATTAAAATTACCTCAAACAGAAAACACCTCTGTTGTGGTTTGTGTCTACATGTCCCCCTAAAGCCTCATGCAGTAACAGGGTGGGCTTCCAGAGATTTTGATTGATTCATGATCCAATGCTGGGATTATGGGTGTGAGTGCTATATCGCCTGGAGTGGGTAGCTTGCATACAGTATAAGGGAGGGAAAGAGGCTTGCTCTCGACCATCCCTCCCTTGTTGCTCTTGTTGCTCTCTCTGGCTGTTTTCCACTGCCATGAATTGCTGCCCTCTGCCATGTGCCACTCTGCCTCGGAGCCAGCCAAGTATGGACTGAAACCTCCACAAACTGTGAGCTCAACAAACCTTTCCTTCCTTAATTTTGAGTGTTGAGTGTTTTGTCTGAGCAATGAGAGAAAAGGAAGCAAGACAACCTCAAAAAACAGTTTGAAAATGTGGTTATATATGTGTGGGCAAGCAAGAGGGTACAACATGGTATTGTCATATTCATCTACGTCAAACTTTAAAAAGTGTTTCTTCCTAATGTGTTTCTCTACCACTTTTAGTTCCCTAAGAAAATGCCAATACCAACCTCATCAGAGTACATTCACCTTATCAGACCTACCTTTAAAATGTATCTCAAGTTTAACAATTTCTTATGACTTTTAACGTATCTACCCAAACCCAGAACCACTATAAGGTTGCAATAGTGTTCTATTACATTCTGATACAAATGTCCCCCATAAGTCTCATTAATTCAGAGTTGGGGTTTTTTGAAGATGTCTGGATCATGGGATCAATATACAAATCAGTGGGTTCATTCAATGATGAGTTAGTGGCTGAATGTGCTTTTGGAGATAGGTCCTGGTTAGAGGTAAGTCGCTGGAGGTGTGACCTAGGAGGATATAGTCTGGTCCTTGGCTCCTCTATTTTGCTTCCTGGCTGCCATGGGTTGAACACCTTTATCCTCTCCAGGGCCCTCTGTCATCCTGCGTTGAAACCAGCTGACCATGAACAAAAACTATGAGCCAAAAGAAATCACGCCTTTAAGCGATAGGTGTAGGGTATTATGAGTATCCCATGCAACAGTGAAGTCACTAAGGCACCTGCAAACTAGAGCTTCAACTCTATCTCTGGGTCTTTTTACAATATGTTCCACACAGCTGTAATTTTCTATATAAAAATGTTGATTATTTCACTCCTCCATTAAAAACCCTCTAGTAACTTCCCAACTCAGAACAAAATGTGACATCTTTATAGCTTACAAGAGCCTACAGGATCTTTCTCCTGGCTACCTCTCCAGTGTCCTCTGACCCTTCTTATCTGTGTTCATTCTGACACTGATTCACTGATTAGATTCAGACATTCCTGGAAGATGCCTCATACATTTCTGCCTTGGGTTTTCTATACTTCCTATTAGCACTAGATGTAATGCTATTCCTTGTGGGTGTTTAGCTTACTGACTCTTTTCTGGTTTTGCTAAAATTTCACAATTCCTAAACTTGTACCCTGATTTCCATAATCCAGTTAATTTTTCTTCCTTACACTTACAGTACTCCTTATATATCCTTACAATAGGCATGCTTAATTTTTAAGTTGTTATAAATCATTTTTACCTTTGAGGGCTATTTAGAAGATACACAGAAAATTGATTTTTGTAAACCTGGTAATAATTTACCTATTTTAAGTTACCTATTTTAAGTTACATTGTATCCTAGAAACACAAGTAAACAACCAGTCTATGTAGTAACTAATCTAAAGGTTCACTTTGTCTTCTAAACCCCCTCTACCCTGGTCGTTTTACTTTCATATATTAAAATAAAAATAAGCAGGGCCCTGGGGATATAGCTCAGTGGCATAAACACCTGCCAGGCAACCACAAGATTCTGAGTCCAATTCCTGGTATGGGGATGGAGGGAAGACTACAATAATGCTAGAAGACAGGATTTGAGAAATTCCTATCTATGTGTTAGTCATAAACCTTCTTTTAATAAGCTAAAGAGATTTAATTTCACTTACCTGATTATCATTATTCAAAAAGTCTTCAAGAACCTCTTTAGCACACTTTGCAGTTGAAGTCTGTTGAGAACTATCATCAGAATTAACAGGAACAGGAGATTTGCTAAATAGTATTTAAAGGATATGAAACAGCAATTAAGTTCTCAAATTCTAAAGATTAGTATATAATTTAAGAATTTTCATTTAAATATAAGTAATCACCAAGAAATAACTATCACAGACATGATTAATGTTGTATGGTAATTTCCCCATCTTCTCACTAAATTGACAGAAGAATCCAACATCTTTCTACCCTCTCACTGTGCCTTCCAAGTTTTAAAGAAAAACTATAAAGAAATTGAAGAGCTAGTCCTTAAATAAATGAATAAACTCTCAACTATAGCTCTAAAACTTCATTTGGAAAAAGTAAAATAGTACATTTTCCCAATTAAACACCATCAGCATAGCAGCGTACATTACTATAGAGTGTATACCTAGCATGTTCGATTCAATTCCTGGCATCACTAAAATTTTTTTTAAATGAGAACTATTTATCCAATGAGAGTCAAATCCCCACAAACTCATAAGAATTCCCACTGAATGCACCACTGCAAGGCAGCAAGACACATTTACTCTACAGAACTTTGCCAACGCAAATTCTATTAGTCACAGAAATCATCTTATTTTTATAATTATCTTATTTATCTTATCACTATAAAGTGTTTATAACTCAAAAACTCAGATATTTAAGAATCCTTTCATAACATTTAAATGTCCTATGCTAATATTTTTTGTTATAAAGAAGTACCTCTTTATTAACATTTGTTTTGTAGTTTGAGTTTTTTCTCACTCCAGGTAGTCTTTTCTTCCTTACTGTTCACCAATATAGTTTGGATATCCATCTATATAGTGTTATCAAAAACATTTATATGATTACTAAAGAAGGGTGTAGGCTGGGGGTATAGCTCAGTGGCATAGCACCTGCCTGGCAAGTCCAAGATCGTGAGTTCAATTTCCAGTTTAAAAAAAAAAAAAAAAGATTAGTGCATGGTTCATAGACGTCCACTACGAAATTAAAACTTTCTACTTTTAATCATTTATTTATTTATTTATTTATTTATTTATTCATTTATTTGGTACAGGGTCTTGCTGTGCAGCTCAGACTCACAGGGGTCCTCCTGTCTCAGCCTCCCCAGTGCTGGCATTACAGGTGTGTGCCGCCATGCCCAGTTTTCTACTTTTAAATTTGGTTGAAATTTTTCATATTGAAAATTTTTAAAAGCAATTCACTGATCTTAGTTATACTCTACCTTTTAGAAGACTACCTTTAGTGTTCATATTCAATTTTGCTTCAACTTGATGGCAGACTGATAACAATTTGCCAATGGTAAACTAAGATCAATCCATTCTACTCAACAATGCATCCTTGGTTTTATCTATAAGCATATCCATCACAATATGAACTGATGGGGGCCGGGGAGATGGCTCAGTGGAATAAGCGCTTCCCTGGCAAGTGCAAGGGCCTGAGTTCAATCCCTGGTTCCACAAAAAAAAAAA